CTACTTGTTGCCGGAAGAATTTAATTACTATGCTAATTAGCGTCCGATATCAAGATATGGTCGATCTCGTAATTTGAGATAAGAAAAAATTTATTGCAAGTGATCAGATAAGAAAAATTCTTTTCGAATGATAGAAGGTCATCTATATCTCTTATATTTTTTCCAAACCATTTGTGGGCACAACCGGGAGTCGATGCACAGCCGGTTGCAGACAAACCAGAATACAGTGACCACAAAAATAACTAAAAAAAAGGTAGAAAAACAACGAACAAAACTAACAAAAACTCAACCACATATAGAAGAAAATCCACGAGGTATGAGGCAAGCAGTCAATAAAGAAGCTCAGCAGAAAGAGAAGATGAGAAAGACATAAAGCAAGATAGAGAAAGATGGCCAGCAGCAGCAATTCGATAAGACGGCATTAAGTAGCTGGGCCTCATTAGCATGCATGAGAGCCTGTGAATCTGCCACTGAACTGATACAAGCGATACGGAACCGGTACACGTATACAGCGAAGCACCGTGGTCCACCACACGATTTATTCAGGGCACGGAGCGTTTGCTCTCGCAGGGTAGCAATTCAGTGGCATCATAAGCATCCAGACAAGAATAATTTCAATCATACGTGGAAATATTCTAAAGTAGAAGACACTCGGAAGATACAAATTAAAGCCATCCCTTTTCATAAGAATATGAACCGCAGCAATGTAAGCAATTCAAAGCGAGGACAGAAGACAATGTTATTAGGTCATCAGAACTGTAAATGGAGAGTGAAATAATTTTACTGCCAGATATACAAGATGAAATAAAACAATTTGAGAATAGAACACGTAAAGAAGTAATCGACATTTTGTTACTTCGGCAGGATCGTTAGACACCACACAGCAGGATCGTGTAGGACGTGCAAAAATGTATTAAAACATTCTTCGTAATCAAGAGAACTCTATGTGCTCAAAACAATGAAAAACAATAACTTTCAACTCTTCCATTATAACCGTCTTGTGGTCCACACACGCTGATACGTGGCCTGGGACTGCTACGTGCACTCACAAAGAATACCAAGTAATTAAGTCATGTTCCTTGTGACATTCAGCATGCAAGTCATCCAGGATTGCATACTGGATTATCCAGCATGCATGCAATCCTGCCATTAAGTATATAGATATTGATCTTGCCGGTGCAGAACCAGAAGACCACAGCGTGCCCGATAAGAATTGAATTGATACAATATTTGGAACTAAAATATAAGAAAATTAATATTATATTAATATTTTAATATTACATATAAATATATAATAATGTAAGTTTCCAATGATTTCCACGTAGATTAATAGAAGAGGAGCAGCTTGACTGAGCTCATGTTATTATGCGACGAAACTTATATCATCTTTGGAATAAATCTAGATTGATAAGCAGTACTTTTCTTGCTGTGTTGTCACATTCTTAACGCAATGACGCGGAGAAAAAATGCGCCCAACAAAAATCCCCTGCATAGATAGTAAACAATCCAATTAACTAAACAATCACAAAAATTGAAAGGATGTTGAGCAGAAAAATCGAAAATACGAATCCGTGGCGGAAGACTTTCCTTCGCTAAAAATGCGAAAATATCACGGAAAACATCCACTATAACATACAACCACGCACGAACCCAACCATTTATTATACATTTACGATTAATACATTTAAAGGCAGAGTAATGTCATAATGAATAAAAAAACATGCTAACAACTCCAACCATATAAGCCGTGGTGTAGAGCATCGCCATCAACAGAACAATCAAGAGGACAAGCAATCGCGAGAAATGTTCACCCATCAATGTGTCGCATAAATTCATACACAAGGGGTAAGGGCGGCATCATCATACGAGATGCTGTTGTCCATGTGCGCAGCTGCATGACTCATCCTCATGAGGCCAGGGCGAGGAATGCATGCATGTATGATTCATTTACCCTGTTTTCAAGGAAGCATACGTCGTAAACAAACGAGCTTCAACGTAAGCAAGAGTTTAGCTGGATTTTACCGGGTTGGGCGAGCGTCTCGATAATGAGTACTTGTGCGGTACTCAGCGGGTCATGGCGACGGTGACACGGAGGAAATAAGTACAGTTACTTGTACTCACTTGCCGGCCAAGTTTCACTTAGTAAATAAATAATGCAGACGACAAATTTACGCCCAATAGATAACATGAGATAAATCATAGTGAGAATCATGGTTCTGCTCTAAAATATACTGAAAACTCACTAATGACGAAAATAGTGTCAGCAGAGTGAGCATAAAAGAGCGAATAAATTGATTGTTGGAATTTGATTTAATCCATATGGATTCAATGTAATGAAAATTTCATTAGACATGAAAATATTCACAAAGATGCAATAACAACGATCGCTACAATCCTACGCACTCAAGTCTAATATTACCTTCAAATCAATTTCATAGCCACTATTATTATTCTTAACCAATAAGGAAAAGAGACGAAAAATCAATTTTCGCATGTGAAGTTCCTTGTGATCTTGCACAGTACGATTTGTATCAGCCCGCAGGTGAGTTTTTTGTAACTTCCTCGAATGAAAAATGACAACGCAGTGACCTTCAGAAGCGATCGAGGGCACGTATTAGTTTCGCCCAAACGTCTATCACTCAGAGAAGTGAGCCAGATTTTGTCCAAATATTGACGCACTTCTTGTCTTTCTGTGAGTCATCGTGACCCACTCTAAAAGGCGTATCATTGCTACGGGCAGAAAGTGTGTCAGTTTTTGGACACCACGACCCATCATTTACTTCAGTATAAGGGAAGTTATAGTGAGGCAGTGAAGCGCCTGTTATACATTACATTATCACACGCAAATGTAAAATTAATGACGGCATTGCCAATTATATTTATAGGCATGATTGGAATTTATTCTTCAATATGATGGCCCTTCAACTTTCTTTTCGAAGTTACCAACATAAGAAAAATTTATGGCAACATATGAAAATTTATGATATATATATGATATGATCTCACGACTCATTGCGTGGCTAATGGTTTTGTCATGACGTGAATAATTGTTTTCGCGAACAATATAATCAACTAAACTTTTATTACACTACATCAGATTATGTCTAGACTTCGGTCGTACATATTTTTATGGAACTTGATGTTGAGTAATAAGCTTGAGTGAACAATATGTAAGGATGCGAGTCTGTAAGACGTGTATAATAATAAGACATTCATTATTATATACGAGATGAAGCACGTCATATAGACATGAAGGATAAGATGGCTGTAAGACGTGTATAATAATAAGAAATTCATTATTATATACGAGATAAAGCACGTCATATAGACATGAAGGATAAGATGGCTGTAAGACGTGTATAATAATGAATAATAATACATTCATTATTATATACGAGATGAAGTACGTCATATAGACATGAAGGATGCGAGTCTGTAAGACATGTATAATAATAAGACATTCATTATTATATACGAGTGAAGCACGTCATATAGACATGAAGGATACTAAGGAGCGGCGCTCCATACTCGAGTCTGGACGGAATGCAGATCCGCCCCGAGCAGCACGCCGAGCAACCAACAAAAACACAGGCAACGACTGCTTCTACTCTCTAATTTAAGGCAATGCAATGTATTTTTAGCAGCCTCAACATTGGCTTGAATTTTTAGCAGCGATAACACGACGATATAAAAAACTGGTTCTTCCTTGATTATGGTGTGGGATAAGGCATATTACATATCACAAACCGCAACTGGATTTTATGGACAATTTATAAAATATTCGATGCGCCTGACAAAATTCTAAAATTTCTGCAATTTTTCCATAGGTTATCGTAAATGGAAAAAAATGTAAACGATATAATGGTAGAAGTAAATCCTCAGGCCATATAGAAGTTTAGATACCAGCATGTTCTATTTACCAAAAAAATAAATAATGAAAAGAAAGACGAAATTGATCTTATTTTATCCTGTCGGGACATGTTAGCTTACGTATGCACGCTAAAATCGTGTAAAAAAAGTCCAGCAAATAAGTGATTGAATCTGATCGATCTGCTCGCTCATCAAAACAGAATAAACAACGAGAAAAAAAGAGTCAAATATATCATTCTCCTGAAGAGTAAATAGCGAAATATAATTAATTTCCATCGAGAATAAGTAAATAATCGTTGAATATGTAATCAGCAATTAAAATTGAAAATAATAAACAGATTTCACCCTGTCATTCACAGTAATTAACATTTTCAGCTAGAAGTAAAACGCAAGTATATAAGACAACAGAGCAAACGGCCTCATGCAGCCACTTAGACTTGATTGCTGAAGCAGAGTTTTATGGCAATATGCAGGCAGACTTCCACTATGCCACGCCGGCAATGCTGACTTGACTTCCACTTGCTTTAACAACGAAAACTCACATCAAATAACGGCACGAGTACGACTGCTTTCCCGCTTGTAATTGCGAGAAAACAACAAATATTTACAATTTCGCCGTTAACACACACTTTAAAACATGAAAAATCTGAAATAAAATAAGCTATACATTTATTGATCGCAAACACTGTTAATGCAAAATAAGTTCAATGCTCCTCTATAGTGCAACGAAGAGCTGCAGATTCAAGTGTTGAAACACCTGCGCACATTCCGCGTACACCTGAGCTCTTCAGAACATATGTGCACCGACGCACTTTACAGAAATTTTACAAGGAAATTGTTGCCAACTTTGATCACAGAAGTTTAATTATAAAAGTGGAAGTGGAATGCTCGAAAAATAAATACGACTTTGGTTTAATTACTTCTCAGGAATTGAATGCAATAAAAAACAGCTCAGCTTTTGCAGCTCACAACTAAAAGTCAGAAATGAGATCAAAAAGCGTTCTGTCTGCTAAATACGCAAGGTAGTGATGGCTTAACATAAGTTTATAACTGGAATAGCGCCAAAAATCAAGAACAAGTCAATACTTATACATTAAACATGCATTGAAATGGATTGAATGTGAACTTACCTGAAACATCGAGGCGATGATGGGACGATGGGACGGTACTAGAAGTTCTCGCCTTGCTCTTGCAATGACGTGAGGGAGTCGAGGATGAGCTGGAACCGTGGTTGATTTGTGGGGGTCGCGACGGTAAGGTTTGAAGATGAGGGGATGGCTTCAGAGGAGGCGAAGTGTTGTGCTTTGGTCGCGTATCTGTGGATCTTGTGGGACTTGGCGTGGACGTAGAACACGAATATGAAGTGGCTACTTTTGTAACGTTTTCTGCTGAATTGCTACGGCTTTTGTTGGGTGGCGACATAGAAACGGGTGAAATTGGTGGATATGAACTTATAGAATGTCTATGGATGGAATCTGAAGCAGAAGCTGACAGCTTGGATTTTGGTGGAGTTTTCTGTACAGTCGACGTATTCACCGACTTTGAAGATGCCAAGTAGACTATATCTTCATTCAACGATGCGTTATCGTTATTGGTAACGTTAATGGTAGACTTAATATTACCTTTTAACAATATACTTTCATTAGAATTTTTCAAAACGTTAACATCGGAGAACTTATCAGTAGAAGGTTCTAAATTTACGACATGTTTAATTTTTGTAGCATGGATCGAAGAATGTCTTGCAGTTTCATCCTCGACATTATCCGATGGACAATTCTTTTCAAGGTTAAGCATTGAAGAAGAATCTTTTTCAAGATTAGGTGTTTGAGCGGTTCTTCTTGCTGAACAAAGAGCGTCGAATCTTGCATCTTCGTCGCTCGAACTCGATTTGACGGGCGAAACAAGCCGCGCGGACGCATCTCCCTGTTTACCACCGACACTCGGTGAAGGCTCGAGGATATTCGTAGTTGAAGCGATATTGCCAGGCGTGGTCTCGGCAGGAGGTGTTGGCAGCGGGTTGTCAGCGAGTGATATTATGTTCTCGTCCGTCGAGATGTGAGCACTTGGCGAGTCTGGATACGTCGGGCAGTCGGAGGAGCTCTCTGATGAAGAACAATTTAACGGGTCTTCCAAAGGACCGGAAGGGGAAATTTCGGCGGGCGGAGTGGCAGGCGAAGTGTCTTCGGATATTGCCGGAGACTGGGAACGGGTTTTATTGTGACTGCTATTATAGCCTCGTGATGATATGAACTTAGTTCTCTGATCATCTGTTATTCGTTTAGGTGACCGATTATTGTTCTTGTTATCATTATTATTATTGTTGTTATTGATATTAGTGGTTTTGATGTTTGTGTAGTTTTCTATTTTGAGATCAGCGGACAGAGTTACCGTAGGGTTAATATTGATGTTGTTCTTAATGTTTATCAGCCTACTTATTGTTCGGGACTCGACCCTGGATACAGGCAAGTTAGCGTCGGTATCAAGCTTATTGTTACTGATAGTGTCAGTCGTAATCTTGAGACTCAAGGAAGGGGAGCTGGAGGGTGGAAGAGACGACTGAGAAGAAGTGGGCGAATTATGAGGTCGGGCTATTGATGTCTTTTTCTGACGAGATGCCGCGTCTCGTCTAATTTGACGACCCTGCAATGATAGAAAAAAATTTTTTGAGACGTCTAAGAATTTTCAGGCCGTAAATTTACTGACGCCAGCAAGGGCATAAATTAATTTACTTAAGTGTCGCATATTCGACAGAGTCTGGAACTCCAGCCACATGAAGGTCATAAACTGAATGATGCAAGCAACAGCTGGTGATAAAACAGTAAAACGCACACCCAGATTTCCAGAGACATATAGGTTCATTAAATAATTCAGTATGAGTAATAAGCCTGAGTAGTGCGAGCAGAAAGGGATTAATAATGAAGGTGTGGGGAGCGTGAACAGTTCAAGAGACCCAACATGGAAGATATAAGAATCAACAGTTATATATATAAATCAAGATATATAAATCAACCGTTCAAGAGACCCAACATGGAAGATATAAGAATCAACAGTTATATATATAAATCAAGATATATAAATCAACAGTTCAAGAGACCCAACATGGAAGATACAAGAATCAACAGTTATATATATAAATCAAGATATATAAATAAACAGTTCAAGAGACCCAACATGGAAGATATAAGAATCAACAGTTATATATATAAATCAAGAAATATAAATCAATAGTTCAAGAGACCCAACATGGAAGATATAAGACATAAAGGCTGGTCTGCTGTCCCCGGCACGCGGCACAGTTTATGACGCTCTCCAGTTAAAGCGCGACCGCTCACTCCAGCCTCCTACACCTCGCACTCGCTTCCTTGCTACGTCCCCCAGTGTTCACTCAGTATAGATGATTAACAAACAGGACAATAAAAATATAATAAACCCGACAGCAAGCGACAAATAAAAATGTAAGTAACACCGATAAAAAAGTTTTTTTCGTAGCAATGAATAAGAGACCAATTAGTTACTGAAAAAAATTCTGTCGAGTGCGAGACAAAGCATAACAGCATCAACAATGAACGTTTGCGTTACAACTGAATATGAGAGCTGGCGCACGTGTTCCTAGAAAACTACTTCGAATCAAAAATTGTTCGTAAATATTCAATCTAATTCTCAAGATCATTCAAACTATAAACTAGAAAAAATCAAAGGAGCAAGAGAATTGCGAGAATGCGTCGGCCGTCGAAGCAGAAAGTCATGAAATTAAAAGAATTAAAAAATTTGCGATAATGGGGCAACAAGCGACTGCTCTTACAAAGTTTTCTTATTTGAGAGATCCAACAGATAACTTTTAGAATCCAAAAGATGAGCCAAGATTTTCAAAGAAGAAACATTGGAACAAAGGCCTCGTTAAACCAAGGCCCTTCGACCAGTAGCAGTCCCTGAAACTGTGACCTGGAAAAAAATTTTAATAACTCATCTAACACTAACTGCATAAAGCCAGTCTAACTCTCAATCCAAAAGCAATCTCGATAGGGGTTTTTGAAGACATCGGTTGCTTATTGGTTCCCATAATACAACTGATTACCAGATTGATGATGCCAGCTCTCAGTTGGCAGTTGTTAGATAAGCGTGAGTAACATCTAAGAGTAAAACAATTCCATCTATCATTTACTATATTTTTTCTCGATCGCACTCGCACCCCGTTCAAATCAAATGTGATGAAACTCTCATGATACCAGATTCTCTTAATCTGGAGGTTAATGGAAAACTCACGACGCCTAGTGGCAATTTTCGGCGATATATCAAACTCTCTTAATATTCGTGTCAGGAAGGTAAATATTCCCTTGACTGAGCGATAAAAAAATTCTTCTCTTATTAGCGGCGCTCCGATAGGCCCTTGTTCCTGGTCTCGAGAGGGCTATCACCGCTGGAAAAAAGGAGTACATTTTCTCCTATGAAAAGAAGGTTCTTTGTTGCTGGAAATAGCCGACAGAGAAAGACAACAGAGTTAAACAGAAATAAGCTTGCGCTGTAGCGAGGCACTAACTTAACAAAGCATATCGAGAACTATCATACACAGGCTACAACTGTATGGTCAACACAGGCTGCACTTGTGTACCGTGAAATACTCGATGCACTGCAGAGGACTTCAGGATCAAGGATTCAAACCTAAAACATGCATTTAAATTAAAATAATTTTTACCGGCCGTAAAATGTGTCCTGTGAACCATCTCTGCCTCTGCTTCACGTCCATAAAAAAATTCAATTGGAAAATTTCCAACGATATATGACCGATTCATTTGCTACATTAAAATTTACAAATAAATATTAAAAAATAAGTATTCTAATAATAAAATAATTCAATGATAACAAGTTATTATTAATTTATTATAATATTATATGTTATTAATTCGAGAACAGGTTCTTCAAAATATTTACTTGAACATTGGAACTATTGTCCGTGGAATTTGTTCGACGAAGAGGAAATTATGAGTGCAAAGAAATAAAACAACAATTGTAATAACATTTCCAAGAACGTAACAAGTTGAAACACCGCATAGCTAACCAAACTTCGGTGAAGACATCAAACAAAAACAAGCCAAATTGAGATCCCCACGAGAAACTTCAGTCGACCTACATATCCGAAGACCGACTAACCCTGAACTTCGGCACGAGACCAAACTTTGAGGTCTATACTTCGCACAAAAAACTGGCCGCGTTTAAAGCAGTTCAACTTCCGAAAGAATGTCATGAAAAGACGTCGTCAGATTAACTCGAAGTCTGCAAAGAAGGCGGTAATGTTCAGCGAGAGGAACCGCGATTGAGTGTGACGAGGCAAAAAAGATTCACAATAAAACTTAACACGAGCCTGCAATTATATGTATTGTCGAAATACTTTTTACAGGCGAAATTATTTACCACGATAAAACAAATTCCTCCAACCGAAAAAATACACATAAGGTAAATATGTAGATATTAATTAAAAATTCATGATAGGTTAACGGAGAAAATTTCGCTAGAAAAGCTACACCAGAATGTTGGCCTCGTTCTTTATGAATGCGATTTACGTTAATAAGAAAAATATTTAGGTTCTAGCACATGTAATATAAACTAATAGGAATTCGATTGATCGTGGAACGATGCAGAAATCAATGCAGAAAAAAGTAGAAGAAACTTAACTTTCGCATCACGATATCTCGACTTGCTGTTGTATCTACTGCTCTGCACGGGAATTAAAAAAGTCATACGCGCCCATTCTCGTTAACGGTTGCCTAATTTGCTTATCTAAACCTGACTGCATTTCTAAAATAGCGCGAGCGACATGGCACACGTGCAAAAAATAAATTCCTCTTTATATGTCGGCCACGACTACACGATAACGACTGGAACGAACATACAACTGAAATAATATAGTAATATCATAATAATAGCGGTTTTAGCATTTATTAGGCCGTTGGCCCCTCTCTCCTCCAATCCTGGTACTCTGAACTTATTTAACCACTGGGCCACTCAGTGGTGAAAGAAATTTGTTAAAGTGGTTAAATGAAGAGAAATTGGACCCGAACGCAGGAGTTTACTATAAGGAATCGAAACTTCCAAAAGGAATAAAGAACTAATCAAAATAGTTTACATAGTATCACGTGCAAAATTATAACTTAAATTATTTTCATTTCTATTCAACGAATCTTCTACAGTAATTCTATTTAATGGAAAAGCTTTTCCCATTAACTGAGATACGGTACTAACAAAATGTATCATTTAAATAGCTCATAAACAAGCGTCAGAATGAATTTGTTAGAAAAAGAAGGCTGGGAGCTAGATCCGTTCGGAAGATTTACCAAAGACTGATAAACAGAAAAGGTGAAGAGATATTACACTGCTCACCCCTGAGGCCTGCAGGGCTGCGTGGCTGCGGGACCGGCGAGATGTGATGCCCACGCTCTCGCCTCTCAAGATGCTCTCCACAACTGTAGGTCAAAAACACCGCCATCATTACTACAAAAATTAGTAACAGAAATATTGATTACGTCTTAAAGCAGGTTCGAATTCATAAATGAAATTTCGGTAAACAAAAACAGTGACGAACCAAGAGATTTAGGCATATCAAATAAAGACAATCTCGCACGGTCACGAAACTGCGAAACTAAAACTAAGAATACTGAACAACTTTCTACTCAAAAACGCATCTAGAAAATGATTTATTTAAAAATTATTAAAAAGTAGACATTGTCAAGTGACCGCCTTGAATGATCGGAATATTGAATTCTAATAATCTCAAGGGAGGCCTTCGTTGACGCACACAATGAAGCATGAATGAAGTCTTCAAAAACACCACAATATTTCCTCGTAATCAAACCTGAAAAAATTGATTTAAGTATATTTCTGTTCAGAGGTTATTATCACTATTTTATACGTATTATTTAAGCAGTAATACGGGTCCGACATCGGTAGCAGTTTTGGCCAATAAAACATTCAATAGCGAACAATAGACGATCAACAATAGCAAACGAAAGACGATCAACATTTCAGAAGGCTTTATTTAGCTTTCCAATAAGATTCTGTGCATTGGCTTACAACACCAAACATTATTCAAAATTTCAGCGGAGAAACGGCTGAATCTCGCACACTCTCCCTTAAAAAAATCAGCGCTATTCGAACAAGGAAAGTTTGGAATCCAGTACATAAAAACAGATTCATTTTTGTTCCCTTCGATTCAAGGAATAACATCCATTTCCTGCTTCATTCCGAATAGTTGCACAGAATAATGGTCAATAAATTTCCAAACTTCTTTCAAAGCATCTCAATACTTCAAGGACGTCCGATGATGTAATCGATAATAGTCAATACATCTTATTTTAAGATAAAAATCAGAGCTTGCACTTCAATTGTATTCCTACGGAAGCACAAGAGCTTTCAACAAATTGGACTTTCCTCTCTGCAGTTATAAAAAGCCGGATTTCAGTACAATAAAATATACGATTTGCCTCAATGCCCGAGGGGGAAGCGAAGAGTAATATAAGAGAAATGACGCAAGCTGACATCGTCCATTGTAAGTCTAATTTTTAAAATGAAAAAAAAAACTTGATGCTACAATGCTTCAGAATGTATAAGGTTGGATGTGGAGGAGGACGGCGTCATTCCGTTTACGTCCAAAATTTCTGTGAGCGCAGAAAAAGCGACTGACAGCTACGATTGTTTTCAAACGCTGAATTTTTTTTAATTGCATTGCTATATATACTACGCATTATCGGTATTATTTTATTCAAAACCTGCGCGACAGAAAGACTGGCTGGAAGACCGACGACTACTCCGTAATTTTTTCAATCAAGAACTTGACGAGGGAATTAAATCATAAAAATTTTATTCTGATGTATTTCATCTGCAGTTCCTCTTTAGTTTACTACATTGAAGGAAAAATTTCTGAAATAGTGTCGTGCTGCATTAATGCAACATTATTGTATACTCAACTGACTTTAAAGTCTGCCTCTTCTACTAACATGTATTATGAACTGCAAGCTACCTGGTAGTGAAAACATGGCCAAAGTATGAATCTATGTAGATGGTGGCGGTTGAGAACCACTGATCAGTGAGAGCGGCGACGCTTGGTGTGAATGGATGTATACATGCAAGAGGAATGAGAGGAGAGAGGATGAGGGCTTTATGTGTGATGGGGACGTTAGGGGAACAGCCATAAGCACCTGCTGGGAGAATGTGAGGCACATGACAGGTAATTCTCAATGAAGGGCGGAGGGGGAAGTAGTGATGTAGAGCATGAGAGAGCAGCTGTGAAGTGGATTGCTGTACCTTTAGGCGTGTCAGAGGGAGCAACTGTTTCTACGATTGACTGCAAAAATATACTTGGGAAGGACACAGGCTGGTCGTCTATATTGAGGCAAATAATGTATAATAATGTAATGGCTGGTCGTATAGATGCTGAGAAAATGGAGGATACGGAGGAGGAAGATGACAAAAAAATAGTCTCGATGATAGGCGAAGGAAAAATCAATGAATTATTCAACACTACAGTACAAGCATTTCAGTGAACAACAATGAAATACCTTATGAAAACGAAATAATAAGCGAAGTAAAAAAAAATGCACAAAGGACAACAAGCTCGCAATTTCATAAAGAACGTGGAACATCCAGCGGAGCTAAAAAGATAAGGTAATATCGAATGCAAAAGTTCGGGAAATTTGGTAGCACCATAAATATGGCAGCGTTTCTTAGCGAGGCTGGGCAGATGAAGGCCGGCGGCTAAAGCCGTTAATGCTTCCTGCCACACGACGGCCTTGACCAAGAACATGGACATGGAAGGCTGTGGAGGTATTATGTTCAAGGACTCGAGATTTTATTTACGAAGACTAATTTTCCAGGCAATTAACGCAAAGCTTAGCTGTATCAGGAAGGCTGATGATGCTGGAGGCTGCTTTAACGTAGGCAAAACGCATGAACAAATCGCTAAGTCAGTGGCATCGCATAAACGGCTTCCAAGGACGTCAGTATTCGGATGCATAGTGACTTCAAAAATAAACATGGCCCCACCTCAACTACCAATAAAAGCCAAGCTTCGTCTCAGAAAACTCGAAACTGAAAATCATGATTGCGATTTGAACCAAAAATCAGCTCAGACACGGGAATAAAAAATATGATCTTTAACTGGAAAGTGTTATTATTCTAAACATATTATCAGACATTAGTCTAGTTCCCTTCATGATTTAAAAGAATTAGCCGATATGAAATGATAAAATTTGGTCTCGACAATGAGCATACCTCAAAAGGCTAATTAGTATTTATTCATACTTCTTACTAACCTCCTTCGCCCAGTAGCCTGATCTGCAGGAGGCAGGGATCTTCAGAGTGTTCCTCCAGGACAGTGTCGTCCGTCACCGTCAGCTCCTGCAAGCAGAACATCGTCGGTAACTTCTGTCCATTAGCTAATTTTTTATCTAATTGCAATTCCTTCATTATTCTGACTGATTTATTGCTAATACTTACATTATATAATTCCTCACATATTTATACAAATTTTATCTTAGCAACCTACAAGAGTGGCGATGACTAGTTTCATCTATGTTAGTGACGAAGCAAGTACCTTTGTAGTGTCATTGTAGTTAACGATGACTGCAGTGTACCACTGCGTGGTGCCCTCGGCCCTGTAGACCTGCACTCTGAAGCCCACGAGTACAGAAGGCGTGTCGACGAGGATGCGTTGGCCGTCCTGCTCCGCCAGCCAAGCTCGCACCGCAGCCTCGGCCTCCGGCACGCCACGGCATGGCGAGATGCAAGCGCTGCCTTCCTGTTCACGTGTCAGACAACCGAGCGTTAGGGTACGCACACAGTGAAAGCAGGTTGCCAGCGTGCTGGTTACCTGCTCAGGCTGGCGCCTGAAACCATAGAATACAGAAGCCTATTCGTACAGGTTTTCACTGTGAACACTTACATTATTATCCTATGTTCAGTCTTGTGGCAGGTTGGAGCAAGTTGCCCGCACGGGAAAACCTGCTTTCACTGTGTGGGTACCCTAAGAGAGGTGCTGTCGTATTAACCTTCTACCGCCGTGTGTCACTCTCCGGGAACATAACTTTAAACTTAAATTATATGTACACTATTGAGTGCAGCAAGCTGACTACGTTTGTACACAACAGAGAACATTTTAAAGTTGTCGTACGTGGCGGCAACCATCAGTGCAAGTCATTTTGCGCTCACTAGAACGTATCCTTTTTGGGAAGTAGGAATGTGGCAATGTTGCTCCGGTTACTCATGGCAGGCGGTAAAGGTTAACTTAGTGTGCAGGTAGGATTCCAATAATTCGGCATAAGCCTCGTCTTATTTCCTGTGAAATACGCTATAACCCTATATATTTCTTTCGATAAAGTGATGCAAACATGAAGGAACAGTTTTCAAGACGAAGAAACCTCAAACAGTGAATATTGCAAACTATGCTATCATTACATATAATAAATTTTCTGTTAATTCCGACACCTCTCAATTCAGCAGGTATATAAATATTATACACGTGTGTTATTGCAAGCTGAGATGCAATAACGCGCGATAAAAAATGTAAGTGGTTGCCATCGAATACGCACCACACTCTGAATCACGTGTGGGAAAATTAAAGTGAACACTCAGCATGTGTCGGATGTGATAATAGAATCTTGGTTTCAGTTCATGGAACGACATTTGAAGGGCCTCTCGCGTGTGAAAATACAGGATAAACTTCCCACTCAGCCACTCAAGCACAAAATGGCTAGTAGGGAGTAGATTCAACTCTTAAAATGTTCGCATTTTCACGCACTATAAAAGACGATATTAACTTCTTTAAAATCATGTTTATTAGAAAAAATGCATTTCCATAGAGTAATAAAGTCTTACAATGCCTGCAAATAAAACGTATAGGTTCAATTTGAATGCTAAGTAAACTAATCAAACTCAAATCAAATTGAATTGGTTCGTTCCGACATCGTTGCCGCACTTTTGCAGCCTCGTCTTGAGCAGACAGCCTGCGATTCTCGTGTTTCTTTGCTGGCTCATTTGCATGACCTGCAATGCAGTAAAATAGGCAAACACACCCAGACTCAAGTTGCAATGAAAATGAAACAAGGTCCAGGACTCTTTGGCAGGGCAGAGGAAGGAAGAGGGCCGACGTCGCAGTGATCGGCCTAGAGCACCCGACACAAATTACCAATCAATTCCTATTTGGGCCGACAGCAATGGCCTCTTGGTAGGAAAAGACGACAGAAAGGTTATTTGGAGCCGAGCCAGCTGGCCGACCAGAGATATGGAGCCACCAAAGAGGAATGAGTCTCCAAAAGTTTGCAAATAAAACTCAATGAAGTTTGTAGGAAGTTATCCAAGAGAGCAGCGCGATTTATCTGCCATTGGACCTGATCCATTATTTAACGCATGCCGACGTAGAAACGGGCAACCTCGATTTTCAATTACGAGCGCGGTTTAAAAAATTACTGTTTAAAAATGACAATATTAGAGTAAAGTAATGAGCAATAATTGGCTTTAAATGGTAATCAATTTTCAATTTGTGTGGCGTAACGTAGAATTTATAATGTAGCGATTTACAAAACGTAAAACCTCAGAATAAATAAGTTTTAGAATTCCTTGCAAGGCACGACTTTAGCAATGGCAGTACGTGGAGTGGAATCTTAATCAATCAGTACTCGAAATTATTATTGCTCTACAGCAGCAGAGAGAGCAACTTATTTTATTACACCTGTGCATAAGATTTTGCCTGCTCAAGACATAATTTTAGACCAATTACCAAAATATATAATTACCCATGGATTTAGAGGGCCTACATGGAAGGATTGAGACAAACAGTAAAATTAATTTATGGACTATATACTTAACTCTGTTATTTACAATTTGATTGGAAAATCGATAGATGGCTAAGGTTTTATTGCGAATGATAACTTTGCCAAGAAATTTAATTAGGCTCTATTAGCGTATAAACAAGCAAAATCAATGAGAGTAAAAATTTAAGTCGGATCAACCATGCTTGCTATTCAAAAAGAAGAGGAAATACCGTTGGTTTCTCACTTAACTCCCTAGTTTACAAAATCAACCGAGGACAGCATTCAATACTGTGATTTTAAGGGCATTATTAAGCTGAGAAACCTTAAGAAAATTGTCTTCTGCGAAAAGCAAGAACTCGTAGAGCTCCATACTATAGGTAGTTCATGCACGTTTCGAGCTCAAGATCTTTAGAATTCTGAAAAGAAGAAAAGAATTCCCAGTTCTACCAAATTGATTGTGCAAGAGATACAAACGCTGCCTCCTAAACGAGCCTGGATTGCAGTCGTTCTCCAAGTGTAACTTCATTGCGGACGCTGTGGTATCATAAATCGGCGCTTACATTTGATACGCGCACGTCTCGGACATGCCAATAGCTATTTTCGACGTCAATCAACCGCTATGTACTAACTTCATATCTTAAATTCCAGTGAGAAGTTGGGCATCATTGAACAAATTAAGGCGATCATAAATAAGCAATTTGCGTCCGCTGTAGAGCTAAATTTTACATACTGTTGTGCAAGTAGTAATTGAAAAAAATTGTAATGTGAATAATACTGTTTTACGATTCAGACAATCGAATGTTGGTATGATCTAAATTTTTTAAACCTGATAGTTTAGGCTGCATACAAAAGGATTAGATGAATTAACTAAACCGATCCTAAGATTGACAACTACTTCTCTGAATAGCGTCCAAGAATCTAGGATCCATATATAAAGCGAGCCCGAGAAAACGATAACAAAAATAAATAGAAGCTGGAAGCAGGGTAATTAGCAAGCAAAAGCTCGAAAAGCAGCCGCTTGACATTGAATAAGTTTTTTCTTCTTTTTATCTAAAGGAAAAATATTTACACAATCATTGTTCCAGAAGGACTGCAAACCCTGTCAAGTCCATGCAATCTATACATTATGGGAAGCTGGCGTAACAAAAACAGACGACATAGCAATGATTGAGAGGTGCCGCCATATACTGTGCGTCTCGTAGCATACAAGAAACTTACATCATCCAGTTCGATGAATACTTTTATTGCAAGTGCCCTCAAGTAGAATGAAATGGTATTATAGTTTAAGAGCACAATTAAATTTTTATATCCTAGTTAAATGCTGACAAAAAGCAACTGGGGACCAAAGGGCACTACCATGCAGCCGTTCAAATGCAGATGCCCTAATTTTTTATTAAAATTTATTGATTTGTGTTGAAGGCCTCGCATGAGACGATAATAACTTTAAGACGCGTCCAAGGTCCGAGAAGATTAACATTAGAATTAGAAGACTTGATGCTGGAGACCTCACCTTGACGCACGCATTGATCAGCTATACGTGCACCTAATTTGATTACGCACAAGAAAGTCAAGCATTGATCAGCTACGTGCACCTAATTTAATTACGCACACAAAAGTGACGCACACAATAATTCTTAAGAGGCTGGTGAGCTAACTCTAAAATTTTCGAAGTTTAAATGACCACGAGAAATAAGTTCTTACAGACCTGAAAAAGTCAGGTTAAGTGACATATAAAAATGAATTTTGAGAGAAAGAAAAATTCGTTCGTTAAATAACTTTCGGAATTTACTGTGATTCGATTGCATAAATACCGGTACCAGCAACCTTTCGCACGATCTGAGTACACACAAATTATCCTCAACAAAACTTTGCACCCAAAATCAACATCGAATTCCGTGGGGACGCAGAAAAGTGCCACTAGAAAAATAGTTCTTTGCGCAAACGATATTCGTTAGTTAGTTATTTCTGTTTTGTCCTAATCCGCACCAGGTTGCGAATAAATGGTGCGATGATAAACTTTCAAAATCCCTTCACAAGTTTCCATGATTTTAGAGTAATAATTTACGAGATGAGAGTCAATTCAGAGAGCAATAAAGCTGATATTTTTGTACGCGGAAATGCGGTCGTCATGACAACGGCAGCACCAGGATCTCCTGCGTGATGTTCTGCGGCGACGAAGGTGGCAGAGCGAAGCGCTGTTCAGCTTCAATAAACAAGTTTAAAAAATAGAGATGTCCTCAACACGCACAAGGAGATATTCTCAAATTCGGAACCTCTAGAGAAAAAGCAAGGTCGGCCTTCTTCAATAGTGATGCAATTCTCTTCTTCCAGTTCTTCTGATAACATCATAACTTATAGAAATATTGATTCGGGAATTCGTCCGCAGTTCACGTCAAGTCAAACGTTGTTGAGACTTCACTCCATGTTGTGCTTGCCAGGTCTAATTTTTTTTGTTGTCTTTGTGATATAAACGGCCTCTTTTAAATTTTCTACACAGTTAGTATCGTCATGGCAAAAGCAACAGCAGTCTCACACATCGACCGTTGCATTACTTGTAAAGAGCGCACACGCTATTTATACAGACCTTATATGAATACGCAGTTAATTGTACCCTAATGTGAAGCGAGATTTATGGTGTGTCCATCTATTCTGCAATGATACACCTATAGAATATGTCTTGGTGCAGCTACAAACAGACTGGAAAGATGCACGTTGATGAGATTAATTTCACAAATAATGCAAAATGACAGTTGTTTGCATTAATTTACGCAATAATACTTGCAATTTGACATTGGAACACAAAGATAGGTACAAGTGAACGGAGGTAAAACGATTTCATCTATCTAACAAAAAATTGGGGTTCGGTTCTAGTGGTGGCGAGCGGCAGCTGGTCGACGTACTCATTATCCTGCATAATTCTGTCCAGCTTCTCAATTTCGACAAAGATTTTTGTCCAGTAACAGGTTTAAAAGCTGAGTGCAAGGTCGACAGCGTGGCCCGGTAGGCGCATGGGCAATGCTATACGTCGAGGCCAGTCTTTGGAAAGAGCACAGCTCGCAATAGCAACTAATAAGGCTGAAAAAAACATGATACTTTCACTGTAAACAAAAGCAGATCAGTACGTAGTCATGACAACCTCCCAAGCGTCGTCATGGAAACACAGCTCGAGTGAAGGCGGGCTTCCAGTAAAAATGGGCGGAGTTTGTTGCTGGTGGGAGGAATTTGAGGCCGGTGCACATCGTGCAATATGCATCCTGCAGACTTGGGCGGGTTTGAGTCCAAAATAGGCGGATCTCGAGAACTCCTAACAAAATTTATGAGGTCGACTAAAAAAGAAGGCGGAAAAAGTAACGAGCCCAGTCTAAAAATAGGAAATATCTCAGAAATTTATTTGTCCAAACAAGGGCATTTTTTACTTCAGAAAGCGCTGCGAAATTCGATCATTGGTTGTGATCGCAAACAAGTTAAATCCAGCTGGTTTTAGGTGATAATCACTCCCTCAAGCAACACTCACTGAGAGTACGAGCATGACTAATGTTTTAGTACAAACTATTAACAGCTCAGTGATTGATGGAGTGCTTCAAGTGAGGAGAAGCACAAACGCTATGCGCTAACCTACACCGCTATATACATTGCTTCCACAGGTAGATATCCAAGAGCGATGCGCATAACTATCAATACAGTAACGTTTAAGTTCGTAAATGTAAGCGTACGAATATGTGCTTCATTTAATAACTAATCTTTCAATTGTTAATTATTCAAAAAACTTCAAAGGCTCAATATTATAATCCCATGCCTCCAGAACTTGGATGAGTTGAAAGCAAAGCAAAGTTAATCAGTGAGCATAGATGGGCCGACAATTCAGCACTGTGCTGACTTTTATTGCCGAGTTTACCCTGCGTGTAAATTTTCTTTGAATTTCATTAAAGAAAATTTTGCCAAACCACCAGCTCAATCTGAAATTGATGCTATAGAAAATTATTTTAGTGGATTGACAACATCGACTATAAGTAACCTTGAAGAATCAAGACTTTGAAGAATCAAGGGAGCAACTCGAAAGACAAATACATTTATTTCGAGAATAAAGCTAAATAAGAATGTAAAGGCCAATAGAATTATAGTAACTACCAAATAATTTTGAACACCATGGATCGCAATCTACTCTAAAACCGAATCATTAATAATATTCACCGTACTTGAACCGATATTAAACGTAATAAATTTAATGGCGATTTTATCTGCGAAATATAGTATAAGCTTCTTGTCAGTAGAAGATCCAGCCAGAGTGCACAGTTAACGTGAATACGTCTCTCGGAGTAAAGATGCACAAACATTCAACTATTCCAAGAACTTCCACGTTATTAAATAAGTTAACTGACACCATGCAAGCTGTTTCTTCTAATCTTCTTACAAAAATAGTGAACATCTCAGAACTCAAGCTGAATGCCTTGGGTTACCAACTAGATAGTTAATTTGGAGGCGCATTACTCTTGGCCATATATATAAAACTAATAAAAGTAACTGAATACACATCTGAGTTTAAGGAAGCCCACTACTCCTCAGAGCATGAACCTCTACCAGAAAGATGTTAGTAAAGGTACATCTAATATTGGAGCAGGAGTGTAAGACAGACCTGGTGAGGCTCGAGATCAGGGTCGAGGTGTTCGATGGCCACAGCATGAACCCTTACCAGAAAGATGTTAGTAAAGGCACACCTAGTATTGGGACTGCTATGTCCCAAACAAGTACCAAGATTACCAAGTACCAAGAGTGGTGGACAGACCTGGTGAGGCTCGAGATCATCAGGGTCGAGGTGTTCGATGGCGCGGTCCGTGAGATACTCCACGGGCTGGTAACGATGTTCGCTCAGGCCCACGTTGTCCACCAGCAATACGAATTTCTGTAAAGGCCCAATTTACGACTAATTACTCAACTTTAATCTCGTATAAACAGAAACATTAAGAATTACTCAGTGATCTTATTAGTATTGTTGTGCATTATTTCCTCAATGCCGGCAATCCGGCTTTAGTGGGCAACTGAAACAATCGGCAATATCATTAAGCCTAGTGCAATTCATTAACGAATTACGTATGAATCTGACAGCAAACAGTTAAAGTGAGTTCGACCAATTACGGTCTTTCAGAACCTGGAATTTTCATGTCAACAAGTGGTAACATACAATGTCACGGAGTCATGAAAAATCTCGTCTTGAACACAAGCAATATAAATAGCATTTACTTGGGCAGAATTCTTTTTGTGTCATGACAAATCGTAAAAATATACTTTTACATCCCTATAAATCTTTCTCTTCGTATTCATTTAGAAAAATAAAATTTTAACGCCAAATGCACAGCGACGCATAAAAACTTATGCTAAAAACGCCATCAAAACAAAAGTAGAGACTGAAGTTCCCTGGCAGCCATTAAGTCCGAGAGTCTCCCAACCAAGAGCAGCATTCAAATGGTTCTTAAGATCACTTGAGAGGAAATTTACGGTCTGGAAATATCTCAAAAAATATCCTTGCCTCTGGAGCGGTCGTCTCAAGCCCGCCTCTGCCACCGCCATAAAACCTCAATAAAACTCAGGCACACCTATGCGGTCAGCCGCCACGCGACGTGCACCTATAGCAAAGACTTAACGTACCCTATTTAAGGTGACCCAAATTTTTTTCATTGGGAATCCTTCATTCTGTGAGAAATTAATAGAATGAATAAATAAAGAGGTAATTGAGGAAATAAGTAGTTTAAAAAACATAACTATAAAATAGACAATATTTAAAAGTAGCACAAGAGTCCTGTTCGATTGAATAACTCTCATAAACATTAGATAATATAGTTCGCAAAAATCAAACGCATACGCTATATATCAAACTAATTAAATCAATGGTTTTACTCGATTATGATAGTACAACAGTTATTTTTAAGTACTCATCAACCAATTAAGTCTTCTTGCGGTCCAATAAGGGAATCAATACATTATCTATGTCAGTCACGAAGTTGATATCTTCTTCATTGGATCCTAGGGAGGCAACTGTTTCCTGAACCTAGCCATTTGCTATTTCAATGGTAAAATCATGCATCAGTTGTGCATTTCTATCAGCTGAAGCATAGATTACTGTGGAACCTTTCACAATTTTCTTGGCGGTTTTGTGGTCGGCACTATATATATATTTGCCCAGGTTACCGGTGCCCCTGTTTCGGTAATAATTCTGGAAGCCCTAGAAAATGAAAAAAAAAAATATAACTCAGTAGTCAGTACTCACTGCAGTGAGAGACAGAGAGCGCATTTTCTCGTCGACGAAAACTTGAGGTCACGGACGGACAGACAGACAGACGGACATGACGAGCACAATAGTGCATTTTTTCCATAAATGAGAAAATGCGCTAAAAATGACGAAGCTGTTCAAAATTATCACTCTAAGGTAACTCGGACTAATCTGTAAGCAGGATCTGTATGATCAGTGTTGATAGACATGCCTTCCATCATCAGTACCTACATATGTATAATATTCTTTCATAACTGACTGTTCTAGCACAAGAAGGCATTAGATGCTGGATCGTGGACTATTTAATTACAGTATCTGGTCAAACAATTCCGAAACCTCAGAAAATATTCAGTAGTTAAAAAGAGCCCTTGTTCCTAAGTAGATGAGGAGGATATTATCTAAATTATTGAGCAACACTGAAAAACTCGCGAATTTTCCAGTCCCTGAGACTGAAAGTCCCCTTTTCAGTCTCCCGAGGGTCCCTGCGCGTGAGCGTAAAGCCGACAATTAAAGCTGTTGAGCTGCAGAGCTATTTCCAGGTGCGAGACCGCAGTTCTTTTACATCGTTTTATGTGTGTTTCTTTTACATGGAATTATTGCAATCCAATAACCTAGATGTTTATTTATTTCATGTTTTTATTCTTGTAAATGGGAGCGGAGTACTGCCCTCTCTTTTTCCAGAGTCTTAATTACGTTGGACGGTTTCTCGTTGCTTAAATTGCTATTCAAGGGTTGATACAAATGCAAGGGAAGTGCAGGTATCTTATGATTGAACCAAAGATAACATTCCTACAGGGGAAGATCTGAATAGAATACAGAACACAGACACATTTAGAAGCTGTACTTGTCACATCAAACGTGCCCGAGTCCCAGAAGCAATAAAACGGATTCCCTTTTCAGGTACGATATGATAGAAAAGCACGCATGGTTTCAACATTTCACTGTAACAATATTTACAAAATTTTATCTCAGAGCTGCGGTGGTGAATCTTAAAACAATTTACATCACTCATACCCTAGTAGGTAGCTGTTTCATATGCTGACCGATCAATCGATCAAACGTCTACAGGAAAGAAAAGTAAGCCACTGAGTTTTTTGGATTAGAATCCAGAAGCCGTCAAGATTTTCAATGGTATACTTACACCAGCATTTATCTCACTTTCAGAAGATGATGTTTCCGAAACCGCTGAACTCCCTAAAAATAATCTTATTTAATGAGCTCTTTCTGTCCATTCAACTATATACTTCTCGTAATCTCTCTTTTCTTTCAGTATTTCATATATCTTGATAATCTTGGTACTTGTTTGGGACATAGCAGTCCCAGGCCACGATGGATCGCCGCCTCTGATTATCGTTCATCCGCCATCATTTGGGCCATTTCATGCATCCCTTCCTTTCTCGTCTTGACTTTCAAGAAAAAGTTGAATCCTGCGTATTCTATTCCATTCTCTTCCAAAATAAGATTCATATATGTGAGATTAGTTTGGTCGAGAGGTCCTTGACTCGAATTAAATATATCTAGCCAACTCCAAAAACGCAGTGGAACTTGTACCATGATATTCAGTCCCGGAATTCAATCAGCAAAAATAGGAAGCTGAGGTTCAATCACGTTCTACAACTCACGACATAAATTTCTATCGGATTTGCTAAATGAGCATGGTGGTAAGGATGAAGTCTAACAGTCGCAATCCTGATCGTTCCCGAAGGTTGCTCAATGTTACTGTACGTCTAACACACACTCGATCATAACTAAAACGCGATCTTAATAGAAACTTGGGATAATTTGGGAACCGCATGGACACCAGAAGTGAAAACCATATTGCTATAGAAGCACGGACGTGATTAGGCTCATATACAGTAGCTCACCAGCGCAGGATGCAGCTGGACACACTCGGTCATAATTAAAACGTGATCTTAATAGAAATTTGGGATAATTTTGGAAGTAATAACCGCATGGACGCCAGAAGTAAAACCATATTGCTATAGAAGCACGGACGTGATTAGGTTCATGTACAGTAGCTCACTAGCGCAGGATGCAGCTGGACACACTCGGTCATAATTAAAACGTGATCTTAATATAAATTTTGGATCTGGAAGTAATAACAGCATGGACGCCAGAAGTAAAAACCATATTGCTATAGAAGCACCGACATGATAAGGTTCATGTACAGTAGCTCACCAGCGCAGGATGGAGCTGGTGGTGAGCAGAGGCGCGCTGATGCCTGACGTGGTGCAGAGCCGTGGACCTCGCGGCATAGACCAGCGTGTGCTCTACGAGAAACACTTGGAAGCCGCCGCGCTGGTACACGCACACCCACTCTCGGCGCTCCCAAGGTCGGCCGTCGTATTCCACCAACACCTGAAACATGGCATCACAGTTAAACAATCATATCAACTCAGACACCAGCGTTGCAATAAATAATATAACTCAGTACTCACTGCAGTGAGTGACAGAGAGCGCATTTCTCGTCGACGAAAACTTGAAGTCACGGACGGACAGACGGACAGACAGACAGACGGACGGACGGACATGGCGAGCACAATAGTGCATTTTTTCCATAAATGAGAAAATGCGATAATAATGAATGAATAACCTAATGACTTTTAAAGAATTAGTTGAATGGTGAGATAGTCATTCTGATGATATTGTTTTAGGAGTCCAGTAACGTCAGTGAGTATGGGTTTTTCTTACAGCATAGCTTCAACATTATTGTTGAAGATTTAATTTTTAAGTCAAGTCCTGGGTAATGTTTGTAGAGTCTATATGGAGCAAGGGTGCGAGCTATTGCTTTAACTCACCCCAAATGTAGTTGACATAAACTCCGACCCAATGAGCTATGCGAATCAGCAATTCATTCTGGTCGGTTTTTCATCAGTATAAGTTGATTATCACATAACGTCCGGGTAAATAACTAGCGAACTTTCCTCGGCCAAGATGTATGAAAAAAATTCCTGCCCCGTTTGCCTGTGTCTTGAAAAGAGTGAACAAACCTCGGCGCATTCTTGAGCTGCAAATCGGAGCTGTCTAAGCCTTATATTTATTCGAGAATAGATCACATACAAGAGCGTGCATAGAGCCTGGTATCTCCCTGAGCATTCTCATATATTGGACTCTTATCTGGATGTATTTCCATAGATAGCACAGCCACAGAGCACATCGCCAGAGATAGCGTCGCAGATATAGACCATCACGCCAGCGCCGAAAACCATCGACCAAATCGCAAGCGCCTGCTACCCACTCCGCTAATATTGCAACTTCCACACCATTAAATATCTGCCCACCGTGTACTCGGACATCGCTAACTATTTACTAAGTTACCAAATTATTTGCAAACATTTACAAGATAACAATGAATATTCAGTCATATGGCCAGTGTGTGTCAACTTACGCGAAAAAACAGTCGAAATATAAAGTACATTTTCTTTCTTTTGCGGAATAAAAACGAGTTTTCATTGGATTTAAATGATAACTTGAATTGCTAGAATCTTTCATTTTCAATCGTATTCCACTAGTATAAAAACACCCGCACGGGACCGCAATAGGTGACCATCGCAGTGTCGGACTAGGTAGAAGTAGAACGTTAGCTACGAACGAAGCAGAAAGTGCGTAGCTCCAGGAATAAGCAACGTTAAACTGACCAAGCAACGGAAGCACAATGCATGGCATGCGCGTAAATTAGGATGATACCATGCTTCCCCTCATAAAACCTTGTTTACGAACACATTCGTTACATTCTGTGGGCAAAAATTATAGTAAGAATATGAAGCGGAGAGTTCAAATCCACCCATAGATGGCGCCACTCTCTGGCTTCCTGCCATGCCACGCCCATCGGCCAACGTCTTACAAGTTTATTTTACGTATTTACTCCTACATCATGATTCTGCAGGGAATCTCACAATAAAATTCAGTCACTGATACCATCTATTATTAATTTGTATGAATATTATATTAGAGCTTTTACCAACAACTTGTAAGTTGTTATTCCTCATAAGAAGCGAGAGCAGGGAGCAAAGGAGTAGTTAGGAGTAAGCTCCTCCCTCTGGTAGACACGCCCTCGTCAGAAGCACAGCCCAGTCGCAACAAACAAAAAATAAATGTTGCAAGTAAACACAATAGTATATAAAGATATCTACTTTAATCTCCATCCGCTTAATGAAAAGATTAGGAATAAGTGAAAAAATAAAAATGCCTAAGACCACATGTCATGAGCTTCAAACTTTTGAGTAGTATATCATTTAAAAATATACTAACATTTTGTATTAAGTTGATTGGAGGGTGTTGGGAACGATTTGTGACATGTGGACATGGCAACAAAATTGAGCGGTATAAGAAAGTGCTAGGGCTGCCATAGAGAAACAAAAAAGTTTTAGGGCTCACCAGTGTTGCCAACTCTTTCGATGACTTTAAAGCTAAAACCTGGCATTATCGAGCAAAAATAGACTAAATATTCAAATTTTGAGGCTAGAAAGATCGTTTTGCCTACATTTTACATGCACTTTTGCCCGCTGAATCTGTTGAAAATACGCTAGAACTAGCGGGAAAATAGCAAAATTGGCAACACTGAGGCTCATTCTGAAGATGGCATCGATGGCCTCAAGCAACGTTTGGACGGCGGCAGCGTTCACGTCGTGCAATGGAAAAATCCTACACATTGATATATCATTTCAATGATTAAAAAGTTCCTATGTGATCGGGTTTTATTCCAATCTAATGAGAATGACAAATATTAACACATGCGACGAAGAATGAATCTAGAAAGCATTATCATGCGAGTGAGAGAATGGAATTTCATCATATACGAAGCCGAAATCAGCTGATTGACGCGGCTAGAATCGCGTTCCCATGATGCAAGCAGCGGCGCTAGCCATTTTGGCATAAATTGACGGCATTTATGACGGTAAAAAATCCGAGCTCTTTATTGTTATCTCTATATTCCATGATCATTTTCAAGCAACTCTAGTAAACTAACTTGCTAATAACAAAAACTTTTCAACAATGAATGAACGGTATGCATTGAATTGAACACGTCGTCCGTTCATCATGAATCATCCATGGAAATCGCTTCATTTGTATGATTAAATCGTATTTCTAATCGCACTTTATAACAGGTGCGTAAAACGGCTGAAAAGATAAAAAAAATCAATTCATTGTAACTGTAGGCAGAAGCAAATAAATTATTACTGCGTAAGCTGCAAGTGCGTCGGTGCCATTGGCTCATCGCTTAATTATTGCAGGTAATATCCATCAAAAGTTCATCCTTCATCTAGCGCACATATGTGTAAGTTCATTCGTCATTAGCGCATTTAACAAATATATGCATCAGAACATGAATAAAAATTATTTTAGTCGATGAAATTTTTTTCTTAAGTGTATCATGTGGTTCAAGAAAAAAAATAATATGAACGTAAAGATTTCAGGTTTGTGGCTGAGTACAAGAATAGTAAGGAGGTAGAGTTCAGAAGAATCCTGTTACACCCAACATAAATAAGGAGAATAACTCATAGGTTTCAATGAAAGTCATTCACTTTGTTTATAATAAAAAATGAATAACACACTTTAAAAAGTGTGCTATTGAAGTTATGAAATAAATTTTAGAGAACTCGTGAAGACATCAGCTGCTATTAATCTAATTTACGCTAACAGAAACTCCTCAATTGACTTTGAAATCGTCGGTAAAATAGAAACATAAATAAAATGAAAATTACTGTGGTTTAGCAGTTAACACAGACAAATCCTTCCAGGCGAACGCTCTAACCATACAAGAAGCACCAGGAAATGTGTAGCTGCATGTAATTCGTAGAAGGCGGTTTCTGGCTTAGCCCTTGCTGAACAAAGCAAGTCTAGCTATTCTCATTTTAATTAGCTGCCGGCAGCACAATGTAATGATTAAAAGTTCTATCGACAGGCCATTCTCGCAGCTCGGTGTAGTAAAGTCGGCCGTCGCGGCGCTGGCCAAAGACTTGGAAGAACTCTGGATGGAGGGAAGGAGCAGTTGGTTGTTCGCTGGAGCAGTGAACAAGCGAGCGCCCTAATTATTTAGCTTTTAGCATATAGAACCAATACGTCGCCGGTGCGTTATGCGTGAGCCTTGTTGCGCGCATTGTGCTTCCGTTGCTCAAATACGGACTTAAAATGCAATTGACAGCCTTTTTTGTGCGAATAATAAAAACCTGATAGTACGCAATAAGCATATTGTTCTAAAGATCAATAATACGATAATGTGACAAATGCCCTATCAAAAGTAAAACCACTCTTTCAATGCAACGTAAAGACCTTAAAATTAACAAAAAAATTTGGTTCCTACATGTTTTTGCCCAGTCAAACGAAGTCCTCATCTCCTGTGCAGGCGAAGAAGCGATTCAAGTACAATAATTTATGCCCCCAGGTGAGCGAAGAAAGAATTATAACACTATTGAACACTATTTGAAAGTGTTCAATAGTGTTCAATAGTGACTATTGAACTCTATTGAACACTGTTGAACACTATTTGAAAGTGCTCAATAGTGACTATTGAACTCTATTGAACACTGTTGAACACTATTTGAAAGTGTTCAATAGTGGCTATTGAACTCTATTGAACACTGTTGAACACTATTTGAAAGTGTTCAATAGTGTTTTATACACGCCATGCCTAGTTAACTCATATATGACAACAATCTTTGAAACTTCCAATAAAATTTATCCCTGATCTTGTTATACATGAACAGACAAAAAATCTATTTTCTCGTGTGTGTGATTTGATATTTTATCATTAAACACTACACTAATTTCGAAACACTACACTATAATACGAAACTGCAAATAACCAAATTACCTAGTGGATCAATATGAACAGCCGATATGGAAAAAAGTCTACGAAAACTCATAATCTGTGTAAAGCTTTGGTGCGAGAACCGAATAATTCTGCCAGGGCCGTTGAGGTATATATAGAGCAGACGTAAGTGAATCAATTTAACGTGCAAGACATCGGTTTGTTGTGTTACATTTGCTATTTTACACCTGCTCTCTGTCGATAGGTGCAGCTGGGCAAAATTACGAATACATTCAAATCTGCTCATATGCGTGATCTTGGGTATAAATTCAGTCGCCAAAACTGGAACAATAATGGAAACTTACACTGAGGCTCACTCGGTTATAACGTTATTTGGCTCCGACCTCTAGTTATATCTGTGTCAACGAAAAGTTACCTTGTCAGTGTAAATCACTATGATGTTCGAAATATTTCTGCAGGAAAAGTCATAGAATAAAAAATGACCAAAATATACATGTATTGTATTTTGATCAATTTTATACAGCATTAAAAAACGTTCAAATTATTGTAATAGACTAATTATTAAATTGAGCAAGTTGAATTTGCAAAAAACGTTCGCTCTATCGAATATTAATAGAAACTCAGGAACTTTGAATACTACCTCGTACTGGTAAAAATTTCGCCCGATCGAAGAGGGTAACTCTCACGTGTGGACATTTCGTATAAAAATATCAGTCAAGAAACAAATATGCTGAGTTCACGAGAGAGCACACGTGTTGGCGGTGGCTAAAAAACGACAGCTAAAGTGGAGGAGGCCCGTATCACAGGTAAATAGATCGATACATTTACAGGGCACTCAACAAACAGCTCATGCATTTGCAACCATCGATTTGAAACACCTTTTTTAAGAACCCAGTGAGTGGACCTCAAAAGAGTTCACGCAGATAGGAGTGAGACCTTGTCAAAATAGCGATGTACATTTTGCCCTTTGAGGGTCATTCAAGCCCAGTCGTTTTCAGGAAAAAAATGGCGAGAAAGTGTCACTGTTTTGACAATATGATACATTCCATTTTCTGAGTGTGAGGTTTGGTAGTCATTGCTAACCTGCTAGAATATTTAAAAAAATGTAAAATGTAAACAATTTGTGTATAACACGGGCTAATGAGAAGACCGTAACACAAATATTAATATAAATTTCTATGTCTTCATGTATGAAATATAGAGATCCGCGTTTAGGGACGATACAATTGCGAGTTCCAGAGAACTCCAGCCATAATGACCACAAGATGATCACTGCGTGACAGGATAAAAATTACACCAAGACAGCCCAACACAACACGCATGGTGTAAGCCAGTCACGCGCGTCTTTTCTGCAGTGAAGAGTGGTTATATAGAGTACGCATACGTTGGCTGATCGTGCCATATTTTTGCGGTCATTGTGGCTCACAGCACGTGATTCGCGTTCTGTGATACAAGTTTCTGGATGATTGTGAGACATCAAGCTGCTAGATAGATTTTTAAGCCGGGATAGTACAGACAGCTTGT